ATTATTTGAGGGTAGAGTGGTCATTAAAAAAATAATTTTAAAACCTAATCACTTAGGGCATGTTTGATTTCCCAATTCAGTGCTGAATGCAGAAGACGGTAAGTGATTTTTAAAAATAAGTGTGTTTTGATAAAATTTTAGGACACCGCTTAATATGATAATTAGTACCGCTTAAAAGAGGCCAAAATTTTAAGCGTTGAAGAGGTTGCTTATAGCTTATCGTACAACAAGGTAAGTGGTTGGGTTTAAAAAATAAATTTCTAATGACTACTCTACCCTCATATAATCGCATTCTCTCTTTTTGGGTTTCTGTCTGCGATTTCTCTAGGGCCTCTCTACAATTTCTTTAGACTCCTCTCTGTGATTTCTCTTTGCGTCTGAAAATAAGGTGAGTTCTCTCCTTTGAAAAACTCTTCTATATATATTTCGTTCGTTGTATTTTATTATTAGTTTTTGTTACTTTTACATGATAGAACAAATTTGTGAAAAATATTTTACCTATAATATTTAGTTGCTTGGTGTTGCTAATGAAAATGAATTACATGGAACAAAGTCTAAAAAAATAAAAAACATAATTCTACCTAATGTATTTTAAACTATTACCATTCATATTGATTCACTATATATAGAAAATAATTATTTATATAAGAATTTTATTCAATTTCACGTACTTTCTTTAATATTGTTAAGACCGTTTTTATATCCTACATAAATATTATGTAATTATTTATATTTTAAACTGTTACCATTCATATTCATATTGATTCGTTATATATAGAAAATAATTATTTATATAACAAAATTCTATTCAATTTCACGTATTTTGTTTAGTATTGTTAACACCATTTTTATACCCTACATAAATATTATGTAATTATTTATATAATAGAATTTTATTCTCAGTGAAGAATTGTGTTTCAAATATAACAGAATTACTTTCTTTAATATTGCTAACACCATTTTTATACCCTGCATAAATATTATGTAATTATTGATATAATAGAATTCTATTCTCAGAGAAGAATTGTCTTTCACATACTTTCTTAACATTCTTTTCAATACCCTACATGTAATCCAAAACCCACATATTTCAACTTTTACTTTCTTTAATCTTTTGTAACATTCTTTTTTATATTGGACATTGCATTTGAAACTTCACTCCTATTGTGCCAAAGTTATCTAAGTTTATAAGCTTACATTAAATAACATAACTAGTATAATAATATAAATAAAGATGGTCCAATCAAAGATTTTGGGGTATTATAAGGAAGAATGGGCGATTTTAGAATATTGGAGAGCTTGTAGATAGAGATTTTAGAATATTATATAGAGAGTTGACAATTTTAGAATATTAGTTGTATAATATAAAGAATGTTGGTAGGTAAAACTTGAAGGTAGTAGGATATTTTGTTGTGCATATATATGTATGTTGGTCTTTGCAATTAATTATATTAGTAAATCACATTAATCATTGTTTATTTATTTTTGTTCTTACTTTTCATTAGCATGTCACTATTATTCGCATTAGCCATTAATGAGTAATATATTTTATTTTAAATAATCAAAATATTTTTGTAGGTATGGCTGCTAATGATTCTAGTTGAGCTAATTGGAAAGATCCAAAGTTATATAAATTGTTCTTAGATTTGTGCCTTGAAGAAACGAATAAGAGAGGGAAATGTGGTGGAAGTCTTAAGAAAGAGTCGTGGGACAAGATAAAGAAAATATTAGCTGAGAAATAAAATATAGATCTTAATCAAAGACAAATGAAAAACCAATGGGACTACATGAAGAAATATAATACATGGATAAAGTTGATGGGAAATACTGGACATAGGGATGATCTAATGAATGAGACCAAGAACTGGAGTGCAAAAAAATGGGATGATTACATAAAGGTAATTTCATTTAATATTTTACATTTTAATTGGGATAATATGGTAGTTTATATTGGGGTAAAATTTGATTTTTTAACAGACAAATCCCGATGCAAAACAATTTCGTTATATCGGGTTGCAATATGCTGATGAGATGAAAGCATGATTTGACGGTATTATAACAACAGGAAAAACAGCATGGGTCCATCTAGGTCTGGATTGGCTCCGGATGACTCTTCAACTTCACAACCAAACATAGGAGATTCACAAAAAACACAGATTGACATAGAGTCTGACTCACCTACTATGCCTTCGTCTCCAAAGAAAAATCCATTGCCAAAAGCTAAACGTCAGGAAAAAAACAACGTCTCAAGACAATGGAAAAATGTGATGGGCCTAGCATAGAAGAGTGCAGTCGAGTTTTGGATAATATGACTATGATTCAAATAGATGGCCCATATATTATATATTGCTGCTCTGAGTGTCTTTTGTAAGTTTAAATCACATAGACAGACGTGGATGAAGATAGCTGAGAAATCAGAAGAAGTTAAGGTCAATTGGCTAACAATAAATGCCAAAAAATTAGGATTTCTTTGAAAGTATTATTTTTAATAGTTTGCTTTTTCTTGGTATTTTTAATAATTGGATTATTTGATTTATATCACTTTTTATATCAAGACTTGTTTTAGTTAGTACATGTTAGTGAATTTTCAATTATGAATGGTTTTTGCCTATTTAATTATTTTTTGTGCCTCTTGAAATTCAAAGATTATATTTGTGTTAATTTAACTATAGATGGAAATTTTTATGTAATTTCTTCTTAGGTTTATAATATATGAAAACAAATAAATTTATTAGTTGTTGGCATGTTGTTTTATATTGTTGCATTCATAAAATTATTAAATAGTAATTAATTTTTTTTTTTGGTGTTGATAGAATGGTAAGGGATGAACGGATCAATGCTTTAAAGAAAGTTGCATTTCTTCTTTTAATGAAGAAATTAAAGAGGAAGAATATTAGAAGACGGGTTGATACTGATTCTTCCCTTAGTGGAGCTCAGTATTTAAAAGAATTTCTTGAAGGAAATCGAGCACATTGTCATGAAATGTTAAGAATGGAGGAAGATGCATTCTTGAATTTGTGTACTCATTTCAAAAATAAAGGGTGGTTGAAAAAGAGCCGTGATATTTCTATTGAAGAGAAGATGGTGATGTTTCTTTCAATTTTAAGTCAAAACTTCAGAATTCGCGTTGTCAAACTAAGATTCAACCATTCAACTCAAACTGTACAAAAATATTTTCACGAAGTATTGCATGCAATGCTAATTTTTTCTAAAGAAATGATTGTACCAACAACGTACAATCCAAATTCGACTCAAAGCCAGCATCATCGACATCTTAGACAAATATTTCAGGTAATATTTATAATTGACTTGTTTACTTTATTGACTTATTTATACAATTTTCTTCTATTTGAAAGGGTGCTATAGGTGCAGTTGACGGGACCCCCATTCACGCGTTAATCCACCTTAAAAGCAAGTGCCATATAGGGGAAGAGGGAGAGGAGAATGCTATCAAAATGTGCTTGCAGTATGTGATCTTAATATGATTTTTACATTTATATTGGCTGGTTAGGAAGGCGTAGCACATGATGCAAAAGTCTTAATAGAAACTATAAATGATCGTGACAACAATTTTTATATCCTCACCAGGTTAGTTGTTTTTACTACTATTTTTTTAGTAATAATATTTTTGAATATTTATTTATCATGCAGGAAAAAAAATATTTACTTATTATATACTTTATTAACCATTTTAAACATATTACATTATAGATAAATATTATTTGTGTGATGCTGCATACACACACACCCGAAGATTTATGGTACCTTATCGTAATGTACGATATTGGTTAGCCGACTTTCGAAATGGTGGTTGTCCTAGAACAAAAGAAGAGCTATTTAACCATACACATGCCAAGCTAAGGAATGTAATTGAACGAACATTTGGAGTATTAAATGCCCGTTTTCCAATCTTGAAAAGGATGGCACCTTATACATTTCAAGTGTAAAGGAATATTGTTATTGCTTGTGCAGCTATTCACAATTATCTTCGAAAAACTATCATCATGGATGAACTTTTTGAACAATATGAGACTCATGATTTGCAATTTGAGACTCCACCTAATATTGCTGAAAATTTGACATCCTCTGAAATTCACACCACAGAAAGACAATCCGATCAAGTGTTTATGGTTAATTTGCGTAACCAAATTGCAAATGACTTGTTTAGTTCTCGAGTTTAAAATTTTATATGTTTAGTTTAATGTAACATTTTTGAGACATTCTCATTTTTAATGAGTAATGCTTGAATAATGTTAATTATTTAAGTTTGAATTTATATTTTTTTATGATTATATTTGACATTAATATTCATTGTTAAATTGATATATTTTATTGAGTGAATGCGGTTGTTTTATTAATATTTTTGTATTATAAATATAAAACTGTTATGAGTATCAGATATTAAGGGCAAAAATGTAATATGTACAACTTTTAGACTTCAGCTTTCGTATATAACAAATAATCTTAATGAATTCGGCGCTTAAAATTAAAACGTTATTAAACAGGTTTTCAAATTAATACATTCAGTGCTTAAAGTTTCAGCGCTTAAAATTCAGTACTTGAAATTTTCAGTGCTTAATTTTCAATTTTATCAAACAGCACCTTAAAATCTTCTGCGATAAGCCATAGGCGACCCTCCCCCGCTTAAAATTTGGCCTCTTTTAAGCTGTACCTATCATATTAAGCGATATTCTAAAATTATATCAAACACACTTATTTATAAAAATCATTTACCGTCTTCTACATTCAGTACTAAACTAAGAAATCAAATAGGCCCTAAGTACACAAAGAATAAGAGCAATACCGGTCAAAAAGAATTGTGTTGGTGTTTTTTATAAGTATATATAATAAAATAAAAATTATCATTTTTTACATGATTTTTTTTCATTCATATTAATCCGTCGTAGATATTTTTTAAAAAAAACGTACTTAAAAAGTCCCTCAATGCTAATGAGTAAGATTAGTGTAAATCAAGAAAGAATATGCCACGTTGATCCTTTGATATACATAGAGTCCTTACCAACCTTCATTGCATTATCGTCCGTCGTCTCAGCTGAATTTGATTCCCAATCCAAACACAGAGCAGGTCTGATTCCGCCGTTTGGTTCCCTCCGGCGGAATCATGAACCCCCAAACCCCTCTCTTCCTTTTCCTCTTCTCTCTCCTCTTCCACCCATCATTTCCCTCCCAAGTCTCCATCTCTATCTCCCCTCAAACCCTCCCCAAATCGGGCGACTCAGTCACCATCGCATGGTCCGGCATTGACTCGCCCACCCAACTCGACTGGCTCGGCATCTACTCACCCCCCGACTCGCACCACGACAACTTCATCGGCTACATCTACCTCAACGCCTCCTCCACCTGGCGATCCGGGTCGGGCTCCGTCTCTCTCCCACTCGTCAACCTCCGGTCCAATTACCGGTTCCGGATCTTCCAATGGTACGAGTCGGAGATCAACCCTCGAAAGCACGATCACGATCAGAACCCCTTGCCGGGGACGAAGCACTTGGTGGCTGAATCCAGCGAGCTGGGGTTTGAGTCGGGTCGGGGCCCCGAGCAGGTCCACCTGGCTTTGACGGATCGTGGGGATGAGATGAGAGTCATGTTTGTGACGCACGATGGGAAGGAGAGCTTTGTGAAGTATGGATTGAAGGAAGATCGGATGGATCGGGTTGTGGGCACACTGGTGGGTCGGTATGAGCGAGAACACATGTGTGATGCTCCGGCCAATCAGAGCATTGGGTGGAGAGATCCTGGGTATATACATGATGGGGTCATGAAGAATTTGATCAAAGGAAAGCGATATTATTACAAGGTAATTATTGTATTAAAGTCAAATTCTTTCTTGTTATATATGTGTGTGTGTGTATGTATATTATATGATATGGGTATTTGTTTGGCTAATTTAGTTCAGTAACTGTTTATATTGTTGGTTCATTCCATGGAAATTTTAAAATTATGTGCTATTTTTCTAGGTTAATTGTGTGTAATGTGTTCTAACTTGTATGTTTGTCACTCTGTTAATCTGTTATAAGTACTTGATGCTGTATTTTGTTTATTCCATGGATCAATTTTGTTGTTTTTGTTTACTAACATTTTACTTATTCTTATGTCCATTTCCGGATTGTGTATTATTTGACATTGAACTGCACAAGTCGACAACTTTGGAACAATGATTAAGCACAATTTGTTTAGTTGTTAGTTAATCCACTAATTGGGATAGTTGGGTTTGGTTGCCTGTTCATTTTTTTTTTTTTTTTTTTGTTAATTGTTGATTAATCATGTATTTTTGTTACTCAATCAACTAGGAAGTGATAATTGTTCTTGTTAGTTGTATTAGGGATAATGTGGTAAACCTGCGTCAAACAGTTGGAAGAAGATAGGGAATACTATATAGTAAGTCAGTAACAGTTTAATATCAGGATATTTGTGCATGGACAGAGAGAGAGAGTACGGTAACCGTTCAATAGCATGAGTTTGTCCCATCTTGTGAATGTATGGAGAGAGAGAGTTTAATAGCGTGAGATTTGTGCCATCTTGAGAGAGAGTGTGTGCTATAGTAAGTAACAGTTTAATGGCATTAGATTTGTGCTTTCTTGTGAATTTGTGTGACTACTCCTTGCCTCCTTGGTAACAAAGCCTATATATATATGGTGAAGCCTAAATGCAAAAGAAGCAAGAAATGTAGTCTACCATAAATGAGAGTTGGAGGAAGCTGAACCCCTTGACGCTATTTCATCTTATCTTTTTGTACCTGGTTCAGGTTCCTCCAACATGTCACCTACCACACACCCTCAGATGCCTGACTTTTTTAACAGGGCTTGTTCAAGTTGTAGGTGATAATCGGAGGAAACTAAACAATTTTTTATCATTAAGCAATTTGTTTAATTTCCTCCCATATCTCATCTCCGACTTCTGAACTGGTTGATGCTTTAATGGTGTTCAAGTTGTATGTGAGAATTGGAGGATGCTAAACAAGTCTACTAAATTTTGGTGCAATTTGTTTAGTTTCCTCCAATATCTTATCTCCAACTTCTGAACTCTGAATCGATTGATAATTTGATGGTGTTCAAGTCGTAGGTGAGAATTGGAGGATGCTGATAGTCTCTCATTCTCCTTACTGAACACAAATAATAATACGATCCCTTTTTTACCATTTATGATGGGATTCAGTAAATACATAATCGAAAGGGAAAATTCTGTTTCCTCTCTTTCTCATGTACAAGTTTATATATATATAGATATATATGTATAAAACAAGATTAGAAAAACAGTCACTGATTTTTTGAGAATTAAAAATAAAAAAATTGTAAAAAAGAAAAAAATTGTTTGGTTGACAGTTTTTTGAAACTATTTTTTGAAAACTCACTTTAAAAATATATATATTATTATTATCATTATTTTAAAATTTGTTTTATATTTCTTGAGAACTTGTACATAAAGAGAAAAAAAAAAATAAAAACAGAAAATAATCAGCAGTGAAGAACCCTAATGTTGTAAGCTTTTCAGGTGACTTCCCCCTCTTCTTCCTCTCCGACACAAACCCTAAAATCCATTAAACCCTAGTTTTTCTTTTCCTTTTTCTCCCCCTTTTACAACAGAAATATTCTCTCTAATTCTATTCTCTTTTTCCCCACGTCTTATTCACACCACAAAATCTTCCCTTTTTTTCCAAAAGATTTTCCTCATTCTCCTTGTATTCTGTTTTCCTTCTTTGTTGAGGTTTGACTCGATATCATGGTTGCTGGTTTGTGTTATTTAAATTAGAAGGCCGTCTCTTCTTGATTTGATCATATTACTGAGAAATCACTTGTGCTTAATTTAATGCCTCGAGAAGCTCTTCTTTCATGTATTACTTAAACCTTCTAAATTATACTATTATAGTTGCATATGGTTTCATAGTGACATGTTTTACTTCAAAGCCATACTCTTTTAAGCCCAATAATAGTGGTTCCCAGCTGTCTGTTTGAATGAAAAATTGTTGATGTTCCCCTTACAGGTCGGAAGTGAGTCTGGTGGTTGGAGCATCAGTTACAGCTTTGTGTCGCGAAATGAGGACTCAGACAAAACAATAGCTTTCCTGTTTGGAGACATGGGGACTGCAACACCATATTCAACCTTTCAACGTGCTCAAGAAGAAAGCATAACAACCATGAAGTGGATTGGACGTGATATTGAAGCACTTGGTGACAGGCCCGCTATGATTTCGCATATTGGAGATATCAGCTATGCAAGAGGTTACTCATGGATGTGGGACAACTTTTTCAATCAGATTGAACCCGTTGCCTCCAAAGTCCCCTACCATGTGTGCATTGGTAATCATGAATATAATTGGCCATTGCAGCCTTGGAGACCTGATTGGTCTGGCTCAATTTACGGAACAGATGGGGGCGGCGAATGTGGGGTACCCTACAGTCTCAGGTTCAACATGCCTGGGGACTCTTCAGAATCAACTGGAAATCATGCCCCAGCCACCCGAAACCTTTACTATTCATTTGATATGGGGTCAGTTCATTTTGTGTATATATCAACCGAAACCAATTTCCTCCAAGGGAGCACCCAGTACAAGTTTATAAAGCATGATTTGGAGTCAGTTGATAGAAAAAAGACCCCTTTTGTGGTTGTTCAAGGGCACAGGCCAATGTATACAACAAGCTATGAAATTAGGGATGCCCCGATAAGGGAAAGAATGCTTGAGCACCTGGAACCTCTGTTTGTGAAGAACAATGTGACCCTTGCTTTATGGGGTCATGTCCATAGATACGAGAGGTTTTGTCCACTGAAGAATTATACTTGTGGACGGATGGACTCGAATGGAGAGTACTGGGAAGGATTTCCTGTGCATGTTGTAATTGGGATGGCGGGACAAGACTGGCAACCCATCTGGGAACCGAGACCAGATCACCTCAATGTCCCGGTTTTCCCCCAACCCATTCGGTCTTTGTACCGTGGGGGCGAATTTGGGTACACCAGACTTGTTGCTACAAAAGAGAAACTTATATTTTCCTATGTAGGGAACCATGACGGGGAGGTACATGATATGTTTGAGATTCTGGCATCAGGACGAGTTCTCAATGGCAACGGTGGCGATTACGGAGTTGTCAGTGGTAAGATGGTGCAGTCAGCGTTTTCATGGTATGTGAAGGGAGCAAGCATCCTTGTGCTTGGGGCGTTTGTGGGCTATGTTCTTGGGTTCGTCTCGCATGCCAGGACAGCAAAAAGGATTTGGACTCCTGTGAAGAGTGAGGAAACATGAATTTTAGATCTTGCTTTGAAGGCTTCCAGAAAATGCATAGGATCTCTACAATGTTTGCATTTCGCAAGTCTGCAACAATGTTTATAGTTGCGAACAGTGAATTCCCAAGGTTTGGAATACTTCAACTCAGAGCTGGGATTAAATTTTATTAACATAATCACACATAAAACTTTCTAAAGATCCTTGTAAGTATGCTTGTATTGTTGCATTTTCATGTGGATTAAAGACTTTTATGAAATGTTCAAAATCCATAATGTAGGAAAAATGTATCTTGTATATTACAGCTTTGGTGTGTATATGCACAATCTGGTCTATAGAATACTTTTTCGTTTTTATTCCTGTTTGACAAGTAAAGACAAGAGTCTTACATGCTTAAATTTATTCTGTCATACTTGAATTTTGACACGAATTTAAACCGAAAAAATAGATGAATCTCTTTAGCCATCAAGAAGTAGCCATCCTCTTCTCTTCAGTCAACTCAAGCATCTGTTTAGTTGTCTCTTTACAGCAATATCAACCCTAATTAGGTCTGATGCACAGCATTAGCAGCTTCAATTCCCGCACCACCGGTACAATAGCTGTTCCGAATCGACTGCTTACAGCACTTTTAAGCCCACCGATGGTTACTCCACCACGATCCCCACACACTGCTATGGTTATTATTGTAGACATCCTCTTCGTACTTGCTTCGGGATGTCTCGTGGCCTTTTACTATCCTTCCAGAACGATCATATTCAATCTCTCTTTCGCTTTGTCCGAGTATGATTTCCATTGGATGTTCTTCATGCGTGGCCGAATTGCCATATCTCTCTATTATCTTCTGCATCATTTGGACCTTCAATTTGTCCTTGTTGATTTGGTAGTTTTTATGAAGGAGCTCAGCTTGGGATGGACCTGCTTGTATGTGAATGTCATGACCTTTCTCAAAAGCTTCCCAAGCATGGATGTTAAGCTGTTTGAAGTCCAATGCTTGTCCACTTGCTCTACTTTGATTATCTCCGGCATAAAATTTCACGTTCGGATCCATATCTGGCAAAGGATCCTCGCGCATGGCCCTGGTTTTCGGATCATAATGTGCCGAGTCCACATCCAGGTTGAGAAGATACTTTGCAGTGTCTTCTCGGATCCGCAGGTTCCTAACTATCCCTGTGCTCCCACCCCCAGTAGTCCGAACACGCTTCTCAACCTTGTCAAACTCTACCGGCTTACTCTCGTTCACTCTAAAACCATCTTCATTGTTGGTTTTGGAAAACACCAAGTCCGTGACATGTTGGTTCTTGAAATACTTTCTTCTGGCTTCATCTCTGGCTTCATATCTTTCAACAACATTGGCATAACTCGCTGCATCATAGCCATTCCAACGATCGCGTTTGCCATCATAATCCAGCTCAATGGTCTCAATTTTCTCATCAGCTGCGATGTTACTGTCAGTCCATCTCGCACCTACTTTTCGCGGCCTCTCCACGCATGATTTCACGTCGTGTGTGATGGCTCCGCAGTTTTCACATGCTCCTGTTCTAAACTTGTTGGCCTGAAAAGTTTTTGAACCTCTTGACATACCAAGACTCGGTGTAATTTGGGTCTAGCTTCCATTTTTTCTGATGTTTCAAAGACGGTGTCTCTGCATTGAGATACCAAGGCGCAGATGACATGAACTGGGGTATGTGAGGATTTATTTCTTTGCCATCCTCGTCGACCTCGGCCGGAGCAAGCCCGGCCTTGCGCGCTTCTTCCAACTCCACCCGTTTCCGGTGGTCCGCCCTGGATTTGACCGCCATGAGAGTTGCAGTGAATCTTTCCGGGTACAGAAGAGGAACAAGTGAGAAAGATATTGACAAAGGAGATTTGGAATATATATATATACACACACACACTTAATTTGGAAAGTCTAATTGAATTAGGAGTTTATTTACTTAATCCTTTTTGGATTGGGTTTTGATATCTTTTATTTGGTTAGTAAGAATATTGTAAAAAAGTATTATTTTATTAATTTTGATAGGCATAAAAAGAAAAATAAAATAATTTTACTTACCAAAATATCCTTTTGATTTTAAATATTAATAAAATAAATAAATTTATGTTTTCGCCAGAATTGAAAATCAGCATACAAAAGAACAGTTTTCGGGAGATAATAAAATTTTCCAGTTTTATGCCTTTTGGAAAAAAATTTCTTCAAATATTTCGTTTTATATCCAATTAAACTCTCAAAAGAATTTAATATTTTTTTATTGTTATCTTTTCTCGTTTTTTTGACGCCAACCAAATCAATCCTTATATACGCACGTGTTTAAAATTGGTTGCCAAACCCAAGTTATAAGCACTGTGACTTGACAACCTTTTTTTTCTTTTTTCTACAATGAACCCCCCTCCTAACCTAAACCTACATACTTTTGATACAAATGTCAGTAGTTCAGTACATATATTTTACAAGGCTATTTTGTTAATTTCTTTTATTTAAAATGAAAAGTTTATAGATAAAATTAAAAAGTTGATCATCTCTTACCATTTACCATGGCCTATTTGAAACAACTTAAAATTATGAGCCATATACTAAATTTTTTTTTCTTAATTGGTACTCACATACACTTTTCTCTTTTGAGACTTCATCTCTGACCTACCTGCCACTGACCCGTTAGTAATTTTTTTTTACTCGTTTCCAAAAAAAAAAAAAAAAAAAAAAAAAATGACTAATAGGTATAGAGTTACAAAGGGTCATTTTCCCACATCAGATTTGGATGGTAAAGTGATTGGGTATAAATGGGTAGGTATACAGTACTACCCAACATCTTTTTTTTTTTTTTTCGAAAATTACTATCCAACATCTTGAATTTTTAAATAAATGGGCAAGTGCCCACTAGTTACAGTTAGAAATGGTAATTCGTGTTCGTGGGTCATAATCATATCGTGTCATGTAAGGGTATTATACTAAATAGGTAAACCCAAACCCAACCCATTTAATAATCGTGTCAAGAACGCTCAATACTAACTCAATCCGTTTATTAAATAGGTAAACGTGTTAACCTATTTAATGACTTGTTTATTAAAACGAGACATTTAATATTTTATTAAATACTAAATAATAAAAAAAATTTGTCATAATTAACCCAAATATTTAAAATAAAAAGAAAAATCATAAGGAATAGACAAAGTTTATGTTGAAATGACTTAACTATTTGTAATAATTGTGTTTAAACAGGTAATATATTACATAGGTCATATTCACGATTATAACATGTTGAGTTAAATGAGTCATAAACGGGTTACACGGGTTAAACCCTTCAACTTTGACATGACACAGTTAAGTAAACGGGTTAATCGTGTCAACCATTTTATTACCTAAATCCGTTTATACCAAACCTAAACCCTTTTAACTCGTGTTGTTATCGTGTCGTGTCGTAATTTGCCACCCCTAATTACAGTTGGTATCAGAGTCAGACACACCTCTTGATCCGGTACCATGTCAAGCGCCCCACTCGAAAGGCGTCTGGGTGAGTCACTCCGGGTAGGCAGGGTGGCCCAACCGCTAAGAGGTCATTTGTCCCACATCGGATTCGGATGAGAAAGTGATTGAGTATAAATAGGTGAGTATGCAATACTACCTAATAGTTTGACCTTTTGAGTAAATGAACTAGCACCTACCCATTACATATAATTACGTGAAGTTCACTTCATTTAATTTTTAATGTAATTGCAAATTTACAATGTTCTACCATCTAATATGTGTTACTGATTAACCAAATAAAGTGTTTTTTTTTTTCTTCGATAACCTAGTGGTTAGTGCATTCGATGAATTTTGAAAGTGTCAAGTTTTGACTATTTGCATCTACTAATCTAATTTCTAATCTTTCTTGCCTTGTAAAAAAAATAATAATAATAATAATTATTATTTTTAAAGTCAGAGTACTAACCAAACTAATTGATAACCGACACTTTCATGAACTTGTAATAAAAAAGATGAATAAATAAAATTAAGGCAACCTAGAATCAATTCAAAAGACATTGGAGTTGGTGGAGAGGAGGTTTCGTGTGTATTAAAATGCTTTGAATGAAATTAAATGAAGCCATCTGTATCTTTTGATGTCATAATTATATGATTAATTAATTAGTTGTTCTATTACTAAATTGTCTAATCGAAAGTGCTTTTTTTCTCTGCCTTTAAACTGTGTACTGTTATTCGAATAAATTCAATTTTTTTATTATTATTATTATTTAACAAGAATAAGTTCAAGTGTGTTCACGTCATGAAATTAAAGTTTTAAAACTAGAATTTACGTAATTTCACCGATTCTAGTCCAAAACGCCATCCTATACCTATCAAACATAACATCAAATTAATGAATCCAAAATTTGGTTAACTTATCAACATCAATGCATAGATAGTAGCCTAAAACCAAATTATTGAAATACTAAATATAATGACTACGTAATAATAACCTTAGAAACCCAAATTAAAATACCAATTATCACAATAATAATTAGGGTTAAGTGCAAAAAACCCTGATATAAAGACTTTGTGTCAAACTGATCCCTACTTTTTAAAAATGTGCATGCAAACCCACAAAATTTAAAAAAGGTGCATAATTGGGTCCATCTGACAACTTTTTACAAAAAGTAAAATTGAAAATCCCATTTTATCCTTTTGTTTTCCATTTTACCCCTCACCATTTGTGCATTTAAGGACCTCCTAAACCCAATTCCTCTCTCTCTCTCCAAGGCTGAAGGTTGAACGGTGAACCCGAACTGGAACAGCGGGCGATGGAAACAAAAAAACAATATGAAATGATATGAAATGATATGCCGATATGGGTTTTGATTTTTTGAACAATATGAAATGATATGCCGATATGGGTTTTGAACTTTTGATTCTTGCAGCAGATAGATAAACTAAAATATATGGGTTTTGAACTTCTGATTCTTATAGTTTGCAGTTGCAGAGAGAGAGAGAGAGAGAAAGAGGGGGCAAGTTCAGAGTTGAGAACGAGAATAGTAATGGGCATATCCACTGCTTGTAGGCTATATCCTTACGAGCATTGAAATTGCTTCATTTTGGAAATTCTGCAGCCTGTAACTTTGATTGAGGATTAATTTATGGTGCATCCAGTACAGGATGGTCTAAGTTGGTGTGGACCGTGTGGTAGGCAAGTCTCTCTATGGCAGCAAGGTATCACAGTTGTATCGCCCATAATAATTTCTATTGTCACCATGAAGAATAACTACTGGAAAAAGAACTATATTTGAAAAACAAATGAATCATATTTCTTAAAGACCATTTCATCTGATTCTTTCAATTAATCTGGCAAAACCTTCAAGTGGTTGGACATTTTGTACATGAATCTGATTTAGTAAGGGGTGTTGGATTTACATAAACGATTTATTAAATTTCATCAGCTAACACATTTACCTGGTTGAAACAGTTGCACTGACCAAACAAAAACTGTGGTTGCAGGTTGTTGGATTAAAATTTTATGTTCCTGAGCAATACTTCCAAGTCTGAAGCATATGTTATTGGCAGCTTCTAATGTATAAAAAATATGTACTAATCCTTTTGGCAAAACATAGTGCTGTCTAACTGAGGACCTGATCAGGATATTACTGGTTGTAAATGTCAGCTCTGCTAAAACGTTTTTTTATCATTTCAATCTCTCTTTCTCTCTCTCTCTCTGGATGAATGATCAGGAACAGAAATGCCTGATTGATATTTTGTATGTACAACTTAATGTAGGCTGAGAACATCAACATTTTGCAAGCATGGCTACTCAGATTGCATATTACCAGTAATTAAGTTTTTGTTTGTTCCTTAAGGTTGATGGAGGGGACAATTTGCCTTGCCTGTTGGCTGGAACTCAATCTAAACCAGTGAAGCAACAGCTACAACTTGGGAAACACCCGGAAAGTTACAATAATAATACTAATAGTAATGCTGAGAAATAGATCTAGAGCAGTGACCAGTAAGCAAAAGCAACCTACTATGGCTGACCACATCTCTCCTTCCCAAAATCACACCAGACCACCCATTTCTTCTTTCTTTGGTTATCCGAGATTTTTCAGTGGTTTTTTGGGGAATGGTCACTCTGAGACTGAAACCACTATGAGTCCAACTTCAATTCTTGATTGTAAAAAACCCCCTGCTTTTGCAAACCCATTTGGATATGATAGAAATTTGTCTAAATTCTCAAATACTACTTTCTCAGAAGACAAACACTCGTGGGAAAGTAGTTCAGATCCCAAAGGCATTGGTGTTGCTCTTATTGACTCACACGCTGATGAAACAGCTCATGATGACAATATCTCCAAACCCAATAAAAAATGGTCTTGTTTGGATCAAAGCTTAAGATTCAAATCCCTCGTCTTCCATCCTCTGCTTTTTCTCCAGCTGACTCCCCCAAATCCCCTGCCGATTTCGGAATCAAGACCCAGAATTCACAATTTTCTGGTTCTGCGTCTGGCTAATGTGTAAATCACCAGCATGGTTTTAGCATACCTGGTGAATATCCATGATTAAGAGTCTACCCATGAGCATATCTTATATATGCATTAGATACTATAATACTTAAATTAACACAATAAACACACTTTCCTAAGTAATTTAAGCTTGAGCTTTTTGAGTAGTTGACAAGGCCGTGGACGAAACACAAAGAGGCGATGCTGTATTGATGGGTTAGCACAAACTAATTGGGAACGGTCTCACAGCCGCTTTCAAGAACAGCTCCAAGGCTGAATCTTGCGAACGGCGAACCCGAACTGGAACAGCGGGCGATGGAAACAGAAAGACATGGGTTTTGATTTTGTGAATAATATGAAATGATATGCCAATATGGGTTTTGAACTTTTGATTCTTGCAGCAGATAGATAAACTAAAATATATGGGTTTTGAACTTTTGATTCTTGTAGTTTGCAGTTGCAGACAGAGAGAGAGAGAGAAAAAGAGGGGGCAAGTTCAGAGTTGAGAACGATAATAGCGATGGAGACGGAGGCGGAGGCTGAAATGATTTGCCCTAAAACAGATTTGCCCTAATGATATATGGTGTGCATATATATATATATATATATAAATGATAAATTTATTTATATTTTAAAATATGAATGGCGGTTGGGTTTTAAATTTAATTATATTCAGATTTAGGTTATTCCTATTTTATAAGATTTAAAGTTTATATTATCCTTCTATCAAGCAAACCCTATTTTATACAAATTTAGATAAAATGGTCATTTTACATGGCTGTATTTATAATCATTAATTTATTCAACTGAAGTAAGGGTATTATCGTCATTTTACACTACCAAGGACCCAATCACACCAAATTGATAGTATATGGGGTTTTTTTTTACCACACAGAGACTGATATGCACTATATCGATAGTAGAGGAGGGTTTTTTGCACTTAACCCTAATAATTGCTCAAAGAAAAGCATAACTTCAATCAATTAAAACAGAGACTATATTGTATTCTTAATTTTTTCTCTTTATCATTATCTTCTATCTTGTGATATTCGTATGTACATGTCATAGCTCATATGTCAAGCTCCTTCAAAATTTTCTTTTTATTACTAATAATAAAAAAATACTTCTATATATATTGGTACTGATTATAGTTAAATGACAGATACAATGCCTTCGTCTTGTTGGGTATTCAAACTCTCGACATTTTATTTGAAAAGAGAAAAGAGATCAAGGAGATAATATTTGAGCTAGACCTTATGTATAAACATTGTTTCCGCTAAATTATTGGAATATTTGGACACACATGTGAGGGATCAAAGATTATTTAAATGAAGGAGAAAAAGTAAACTAGTCAATGAGATTTTTAGGCAAAGGTATAAATGCCTGCTCTATGTGTAAGAGTATGCAATTACCTTGTCTTTAATGCTTGCCCTATTGATTGTATTTTTAGTCTGAAGTTGTGTGGTAATACTCAGGGGTGCTCGATGAGTTTGGTCTTTGTAGAGGAAGCTACTATACTTAGCATACATCAGAATATAAATTACTTGGCTTCCCGATAAGGATTAAGAGGGAATCTTGGTGAAGGACACTATGCAAAGGGAAGTTCACATATGTTATCCTCTTATTCGGCAATCTTATTGATAGGGGAATCGTATGTACGGTACGGTAATATATTGCACAAGGCCCTTAACACAGTCGTGAGTTATAAGTTAATCATCATTAGTACTTTAACTTAGAAAGATGCCTCTAAGATGGGGAACTCTATTTACCTATGACTCTCACGAGACAGCCATATAAAATGTCCGCGGAAGTCGGGTAATATATTGAATCCATGGCTTAGAGCTTCACTCGAGAGGTATTGAATATGACGGGAGACTATGTAACAGAGTGTGTTAGTGATGCTCGGTGAGGTAGTAACATGTTCCGCGGCATAATGATATCCCACCTGGCATTACTTTCATGGTCTAATACACAGATCAGGGAGTTGCAATGTTGGTGCGCAACAGCTTGTAACTTAAGCGATCATGGTGTGTCGTTATGTCGCGGCATGCCATAATCCCAAAACGGGAAAAAGGGTCTGTCGTGGCATGGAGGCTTAAAAGAGGGGCTCACTTGGTGTGTCATATAACCTGGATATATAGACATGGGACCTCAGTAGAAAGGGTGACCACGCTTCAGCCAGTAATGATTAAAGTACATGGGTGCGAGTACAGAATAAGCTGAGGCACGTGTCAGCTCATGCCATGACTCCTAGAAATAGGCGTATTGGGTGACGCAAATGAGAGTTTTTTCGGAAGCCCTATTCCCCTTTATGCACTTATGACATTTCTGCCCAAATTCTCTCCCCTTCCATTACAACTTTATTCCCTCAATCCGATAAACTTTTCCGGTCACTCTTGATCCACTTAGGCTTTCCCGAAGCTTTATTTTCTGGAATTTATAAACAATCCTCCACAAAGGCGACTCCGCTGGGGATTCTGAGTGTCTCACGAGATGGTCGAAGCAAAGACAACTAGGAAGCAAGCAAACGTTGCCAGACCTGCCAGGACTCAAAAGCTACCTGCGCGGCTTGAGTTTGAAGAAGATAGCCCTGCAAGAGAACCATTCACGGCACCGGTCCCTCGAATATGAAGGGGAGAATGCCGAATCAGCCCCTCAAAGTTCCAAATCTGCCAAATTCACTGACGATCCCACCGGTCACCACGTCGCCACCAATAACTCAACCACCTATCATCACTGATGTGCTTTTAGAAACAATGATGAACATTCAACAAACTCAAAAATAGATTTTGGAATATTTGGCTGCAAATCGATCTTAACGGAATCCACATAATCTTTCCAGTGATTCCGGCTCCTTCAATCAACCTTCTTTCACAGAATGATAATCATTTGGCTTGGGAAACAACTCTCCCATCACCAAGAAGGTTTGGCAGAGATCTTGGGTTCCCTTACCTTTTTGATCGAACAGGGGGATTTTTCATACTGTCTTGTGCATTATGAGAGTTATACAGTGGTGTTACCTGAATAAACATCTTAGTGTGAACACATTCTTCACAACACCAGTTATTGTACAAAATTAAAGTCTGCAAAAATGTTGGATTCTATCTGTCTCTTTTCTATTTTGTCTGTGAGGTGTGATAAGAAGAGCTTAGCCGTTTTTTTATCACGATGGTGTTCGGATACCCATACCTTTATTGTAGCTTGGGGTTAGTTTTCTCCATCCTTGGAGGACGTCTATTGTTTGCTTTCCTTAGATATGTCTGGTTCAATTGACTATCATCCGAGGTAGTTGACAGATGAGGATCAAGCCATTGTAGATTATTTGGAGAAAGCTTATTTTGAAGCTTCTAAATGGGGTACTCACTTCCGTGGTTCCACCCGCTTCAAAACTCCACCGAGCTCAACTTCCGGCAAGAGACTGTCCTATTCTCAATGGTACAGACACTTCTATTGTGATTCCAAACAAGTCTCTGAGGACATTAAGCATGGTCATCGTTCAGGAATGAGTGTCCGTGGTCCGGAATATGGAAAATTGAAAGCTCTTGTGGGTTTCCTTTCGTACTGGCTTGACAGATATATTTTTGAAGGAAAACCAGAATATGGTTTGAACTTGAGAGTATTTCCATTGGCTGTCATCCTTTCTCGTGCTATCTCATTGCCTTTGGCTCCATTATTTCTTAGTACATTAGACCACAGGTTGGATATGTTGAAAGATGATTCGGAACGATTTGTTGGGCGCTATGATTTGAGTTCTTTCATTACTTGCTCCTTTCTTACCTTAGGTTTTCCAAACTATGCACCTAATCCCACCATCTTTCATAAAAAAGATCTAGGAGACATTAAACATAATTTTGGAATGCGGTGGAATAATCCCAAGGGCTTGAGTTCTTGTAACTTAGGGAACTATATTGATAACGTGGATACTTTTTGTTGTCGTCCTTATACCATAGCTGACGTGGGAATCAAGTCTCCCCAATTTTACGTGGAAAAGGATTCTTCCATAACCTTAAAGGAATACTTGTGCATGGGTACCCTTATATTCATTACTATTGTGTCAAAGTGTTCTTTACCATTTCTTACAGAGACTAAATCAGGTTCAATTTCCTCTAATCCTTTTCGTTTTGCTCGTCAATTTTGATTTGATCAAGCCATCCCGGGTTATAACAGTGATCCTGAACCATTTGAAGCTAATTGCCTTCGATTTTGCAATAATCGTGCTTCTATCTTAAATTTATTTCAAGCACACTTTATCATTCCTACAAATAACTGAGGTGGCAAGTTCATGATGTGTGTTTTTATTTATCAATAATAAAATATCACTCGCAATAGAACGAATCCTTGCAGGATAGGGTTATGTTGAGGGTGTCGAACCTCAAGGACTGTGGTGGTTTATCAAGTCTTCAATTAATACTAATTTAATTTAGAAAGAGGATTTGATTTTTTGTGTTGTGATGCAATTCAATAACATAAAAGAAAATAAACGGAATAAAGGAATTAAGATCAAGAGAAGAAATACTTAGGGATTTACTTCACCACGAACCTCATACTATGGTCAACTGTTCAACCTTGGGATTTCAATAATTATGTATCATATAGAATTAAACTCAATAACATTCATTTAATTCAGAGTTAAAGAAAAATATTTCATGAATTTCAATTAACTATAACCTATCTGCGGTTAGCATGGACTATCCACCTAAATATATAGTTATGTGGGTTTAGGGTTTTAGAGAATACACAAGGTTCTTCTCACGTACCTAAGAAATAGAGAGAAAATACAGAGTGCAATAGAGAGGAATTTTAGGAAAAATAGAGAGTAAACCTTGAGAGTTTAATAGAGAGGTCCAAGGAGAAAGGAACGGGGTTGCTTCTGGGTTTAACCAAGAGTAGCAGAGGCATGGAACGACAGTTTAGAAGGTGGTCGGAAAACCTCAGAGATGGTGGTTTACAGTTTCAAACTCTGAAATTGCAGGCAAGTTCTGTTCTATTCTTTCCCGTTAATTCGTGTTCTGTGCA